CTGCGAAACAAATGCAGTAAAAAATCTGCAATTAGGGGAACAGAGGCCTTGAGTGGATCAACCTGCCTCTGACCACACCAATCGCAGAAGATGCTCCACCTAGACTGGTAGACTGCCGCGGAAGAAGACCTAATGGACCTAGCGATACAGTCGGACACCGGTCCAGAAAACCCCTTCTGCGCGAGACCACCGGAGATAGCCTCCACGCGTGAAGGTGGAGTATAGCCGGGCGGGAGTGCATGATTCTGGACCTCGGCTGTCGTAACAGGTTCCACCTGGGTGGAAGGACCAGAGGCTCTTCCACCAGAAACGATAGAAGCTGAGGGAACCATGGTTGCCTCGGCCACAAGGGAGCCACCAGAATTAGGGAGCAAGGCTGCTCCTCGTACTTCTGGAGGACCTTGGCCACCAAGTTGAAGGGGGGAAAGGCGTAAGCATGCAACCCCTTCCAGTCCAGTGACAGAGCATCTACTCCCCATGCTGCTGGATCTGGAACGGGAGACACAAACGTCGGCAACTGATGGTTCAAGGCTGTGGCAAATAGGTCTACATGAGGCCTGTCCCAAACCAGACATATTGCTCGGAATATGGATGGATCGAGCTGCCACTCCGTCAGAACCGGCTGAAGACGTCTTGACAGGGTGTCTGCAAGGACATTGAGTCTGCCCGGAAGGTGCTTGACCTGAATGGTTAGGCACCACTCCTGGCAAAGTAGCAAAATGCGAATGGCCAGGGCACACAGGACGTGAGACCTGGTGCCCCCTTGCTTCTGCAAATAAGCTACAACAGTTGAGTTGTCTGTTGCCACGCAAATCACCTGGTCTTGCAGATAAGACCTGAGGTCCTGGATGGCCAACAACACTGCCCTCATCTCGAGCACATTGATGTGTTCGGAAAGATGATCCCCTGTCCATGAACCTGAGCGAGCCTGCCCGTTCAGGTACGCCCCCCAACCTGTCTTGGACGCATCGGTATACAGGGTCATGGTGGGTGAGCTCCTGTGCAAGGACACCCCCTTCAGGACATTGTTCCGAATTGTCCACCATTGGGCAAATTCCTTGACCGACTGACTGAGAGGAATAAAAGCCTCCCAATCCCGCGACGCTGGAACCCAATGGCTGAGAAGAAACATCTGCAGAGGTCTGATGTGCAGCCTGCCAAGAGGAACTACATCTGCTAGTGAGTTGAGAAACCCCAGCAAACTGAGGTACCAACGAACCTGTACCGCAGAACTCTGGATAAACTGAAGCACCAGACTCCTTGCCTTGATGAATTTCTCCTGAGTTGGAAGGACTATACCCCTGGCTACGTTGAACTGGTAGCCTAGGAACACAATTCCTTGGAGGGAGACAGTTCTGACTTCTCTCGGGAGGGGATGAACCCGACCTTGAGAAAAAGACTCAGAACCAGTCGAGTATCCTGCACCAGGGACTCCCTCAGTGAATGAAGCATGAGGGAGTCGTCAAAGTAAATATGGATGTTGATACTCCGCTGGTGCAGGAAACCTAACACAACCTGCAATAGTTTGGTAAAAACCATTGGGACTGTGGTAAGGCCAAAAAGGCATAGCCCGGAACTGGAATATCTTGCCCTCGCATGAGAAGCGAAGATACTTCCTGTCCGACTTCCTGATGGGAATGTGGAAGTAGGCATCCTTCAAGTCTATTGAAGTAGCCCACATTCCCTCCCTGACTGAGGCAATAATGCCTCTCGGGGTCTCCGCCTGAAAGTGGGGAGAGTCCATGAACTGATTGAAAGCACTTAGGTCTATAATCAGGCGCCAAGCTCCCGACTTCTTCTTCACAAGAAAAATTCTGGAATAGAAGCCTGGAGAGTACCGGCGCCGTGGTAGCGACTATGGTAGCAATTTCCCATCGGACAGCTAGAGCCTTCTCTAGATCCACCGGGGGTAAGAAAAAAATTGGCTTTGCTGTGAGCGGAGGTCCCCTTAACAACGGGATTCTCAATCCTTCCGCAACTATTGACAATGCCCAACTGTCCTGAGTAATCTCTTTCCATTGAGGAAGGAAGGCGGACAGTCGACCACCTACTGGAAGGTCCGGTTGAGGAAGGCCAAGACCTTCCCAAACGTATATGGGGCTGTCTATGACCGTTATGAGACCGGGTAAAAGAGACCTCTGATCTACTTGCCCAGACTCAAACAGAAGAGTTGTGGAAGGAGGGAAGAAGTCAGGAATACTGCTTCTTACCCCCAGAGGGTTTGGCACTCTGCTTGCCCTTACCCTTGGCTTTGACCTGAAAGGTAGACTTAACCTAAGCCGCAGACCGAGTCTGGCGAGGCCTCGACTTAGCCTTCTTCTTGGTCTGGCCCAAACCCTGAGAGGTTCCAACTTTACCAGCAGCCGACGAGTTTGAAACCAAAAGTGCCGAGGTTACAGGGTCCTTCTTAACTTCCTTCTGAATAGAAGGAAGGGCACCCCCAAAGAGCCAACGACCCTCGAAGGGATAGGACAAAAGCCTGGAAAGGTACGGTTCCTCAATAGGCTTACCTTTAACCACAGAGGCTCGCCTGGTAAGAACCAAATTGGCCAGCAGTGCACACTGCAAAGCTGCAGAGGACTTCAGACAGTTGTGCAAGGTTGAGGTGACCCTATCCTGCACAGCCCGTCTGTCACTCTCATCAACCTCCGACTTCCCCATGGGCACTTCCGATAAACCGAAAAGGGTCACCGTCAGGAAATCAAAATATGAGAATACCTGGAGAGAAAGCCGCAGGATTTTCTCCAGTTTGAGGTGTTCCTTGGCAGAGAACACCACCTGGTCAGTCGCCGATCCTGGCCATTGCCTAAGCTCGTGAGTTTCCAGCTTAGCTGGTTGACTCTCAGGTTTGGCGTTGTGAATGGCGTAGTCTGAGGACCTAACCTCAGACAAATCTGCCAAACTCAATTGCAGGCCAGCTGCACCAGATGCACGAGAGGACGAAGCAGTTTTCGCTGCCATCCTAGCATGGGCGACAGCCAAAGCCGAGGAAACAATAGAACCCTCAGGCAAAGACTTGTCCGAACGAACCTAAGCCTTAGGCGGAACAAGCTGACTCAGCAGCGTTGTTGCCTCCGGAATGGCAGACACCGCAGGAGGAGGACAAACTTCCTCCCAAAGGATTCTGGCTACGTCGGCCACATGCGAGCCAGAGCACAGTGGGCTTCAGCCTCAACCTCAGGCTCTACCTCAATCTCAGCCGACACCTCATCATCTTCAGATTCCGAAGAATCCGAATCATGACGAGGATATGGAGGTTCTGACTGACTCTCAGTCATCACACTCCCAGGTGACAGGCGGAGGACGTCATCGTCCCTGTCCCCCTTCTCCAATTCAGTACCCCTCCTGGAAGTTAGTCACTGAGGTATCTACTGTTAAGGGCAAGGTAGAGTTCTGAAGACTCTCTGAGAAAGTTCTCTTACATTCTCTCTTAGGCTCTGAAGGGCCAAGATCTGAGATCTAAAGACCTACGAGAGGCGGGGATATTTGTCTTGGAGCGAGATGTCCTAAAAGCCCTAATAGGTCTTTTAAACACAACCTCCTCCCCAGTCCCAGAGGTGGGTAGAGCTGAGCATTCAGCAAGCCCCCAACCTGCTGAGGTGAGACCGGTCCCCTACCCTGATTAAATCCGGAGGATAACCCGAGTTGTACCGAAATCCCTGAGGAAATGGGGCCCTAGAACGATAAGGAAAGGAATGACCCCAGTACTGACCAAACTGACCAGTGGGTACATGGGAAGGAACACCCTGATCAAATGGAAAAGGTGAACTGCCACTCTCTCCCGGAGCGAAACCAGAAAAGAAAGGCCTAGGGCCAGACATATGACCAGTTTGCTGCTGGAAAGCACCAAAACCATGATGCATAGTACCCGAGGCCCAAAGGACTCATACCCCGAGACCATGGGGTGTCGCCCGATTTTTGTCAGACTTTAGACCTTCTCCATTACTCATGGGCGCGGCCCACAGGTTCTGTATGGTGCAAGCTGGCACGGAATCGACCCTGACAGGGTTGATACCGGATACCTGACCAGGACAGAGAAGGGACCATGAAGAGTCATGAGAGGTAGCAGTGCTGCTACACTCTGTGGGGCCCAGATAATTCGAAGAATTATCACTCCCCATTGCAGCAGAGGACCCAAAAGGATTCTCATTCATGACTCTATCCCCACCAACAGACGCTCCAGGACTAAATAGTCAGAGACTGGAGGAGGGCCCACCCATTCCAGAGATGAACTAACACCAATGGAAGGCGGACCAACCTCCCTGGTATAATAAATGAGGAATGAAAACAAACAATGACACATGTTACCGCCCTCGGAAAACTTGAACAAAGTCAAGGGTAAAAATAACAGCCATGTGCTTCTTTCGAGTTGAAGAAAGAGGAAGTTGGAGGTGCGCGGGCAGCCTACACCCGTTTGTCCGGTTCGGACAGGGAGTAGTTTTGTATTTGCGCGGGGCATTTGAAACTTTACTTTGGAGTTGGAGATTATTTGCATAATAATTGGACGTGGTAAGTATTGTTTTTGATATAAAAAGGCACATTCAGGATATCGGCAGCAGTATTGATATTGTACGAGATAAAGAGTTTAAGGTAGCAAACAAAACTCTAAATGGGTTCCTGAAAAGGCAAATGAAGTCAGGGACATCTAGACCCACACAACATCAGAAAATTATCGAGGCAGTTGATTAAAATAAAATTGCAACCTACCTTGAAAGTGCTAAGAAAAATCCGGTAATTCTCTGTCAAGTACGCTTTGTCGATACATTTTGTAAGTTGTGGCACAGAGTTCCACCAACAGTTGAAACTTGATTTGTTCTCTTTCCTTAATGATGAGATGGCGATTTTGTACAGCTTACAGATGAAACGCAGCAAACAAGAGGCCCAGAGGGCCTGTATCACTCACCTGAATATATTTAAAATAATTGGTATGAAGTAAAGATATAGCACTCCATGGTAGGTGCTGTAAGTACATATAGAAATTCAGAAAGATCCATCCAGTACTTGAGATATAGCAAGAACAAACTTCAGACAGAGCCCCACCCCTATGCCCTTTTGGGGGTCATATCCACTATTCATACAAAATTGAGTCCCCTAGGCCCAAGGATGCTCCAGACTTAATAAGGATAAATTCCTTAAGGTAATAGGATTGTGTCGCCATTTCTCAGTAGAATTTCTTCAAATTTTGTAGTTATATTGCTTTGAAGGAAAGAAATTTTCTGCCACAAAAAAAATATAGGTTGTCATAATATTAAGGAATTTAAATGGAAATTTATGTAAAAAGAAGTGACTTTGGAAAAAAAAAATGAAACACACAATTTTTGGCAAAATAATGTCAATAAAAATGATACTACCATAGATTAGTATTGCATTAATGTATATAAATTTAATAAATGCTGAAATTATGTCAAATAAATTATCTATAAACGATTAAAAATTGACATTTTATAATAAAACCATATGCACATAGTAATTGCAGGTAAGAGTTATTTTCCTTGAAAAACTTCACAGTAGTGAAATAGGTAGCTGGTTTCCTGAAGTACAGAAAAATGGATACATGTAGCTCATTGATAAAAAAACCCACCTGAATTAATGCCTGCATTGCTTTGAAATACTTTAATATTGAGAGAAAATACTGTTCTGTCAATAATAAACATACAATATTCATCAGTTTAATAATAAACATTAGAATATGCGGAAATTGGGATACTGTCCCCCTACATTGGATTTTCAACTAGGGATGTACTTCCTACTTCCGTTTATTAATACACTCCTATGACCTTAATCCAAATGGTAGAAGAAGGATTTTAAAGGTAATACCTCTATTTCCCGTATTGGGCCCCGCCTCCAGGGGGGTTAGACACACCGTTTATACAAAATTGGTTCCCCCTCACCCAAGGATGCTTCATAGCAAATTTGGACAAAATCCTGCCATTTGACCGAAGAAGATGGTATTTGAAGAATTTGCTATGTTTCCACTATTGGGCTCCTCCCTTCTGCCCCCAGGGGGGTCACACTCGCTGTTTATACAAAATTGAGTCCCTTTTGCCCAAGGATGCTCCAGACTAAATTAGGATAAAATCCCTTAATCCCCCCTACGGTAGAAGAATTAGGATTATAAAGGTTTTACTTCTATTTCCCCTATTGGGCCTCACCCCTAAGGTCCCAGGGGGGCCACACCCACTGTTTATACAAAATTGGTTTCCTTTTACCCAAGGATGTTCCACACCAAATATTAACCAAATCCTTTCATTTCTACAGAAGAAGAAGGATTTTATAGAATAATTTGCTATGTTTCCCCTATTGGGCACCGCCCCTCAGGCCCACGTCTTATACAAAATTGGTTCTCCTTCACCCAAGGTTGTTTCAGACCAAATATGGAACAAATCTTTTCATTCCTACAGAAGTAGAATGATATTAAAGAATTTGCTATATTTCCCCTATTGGGCCCAACCCCTCAGCCCCAAGGGGGGCCAGACCCACCGTTTATACAAAATTGGTATCCCTTTACCCAAGGATGCTCCACACCAAATATGGACCAAATCCTTTCATTCCTACAGAAGAAGGATTTTAAAGAATCATTTGCTATGTTTCCCCTATTGGGCCCCACCTCTCAGGCCCCTGGGGGGCCAGACCCACGGTTTATACAACATTGGTTCCCCTTCACCAAAGGATGCTTCAGACCAAATATGGAACAAATCCTTTCATTCCTACAGAAGATGAAGGATTTTAAAGAATTTACCTCTG